AGACACATGATATTTTCATGCTGATTAATAGTCAGATTCCCAGTGCTAGTATTAGCAAGGCTAAGGATCAGTCATCAAAACATGAAAGCACTGACCTCTTATTAGAGTGTAGCGACACACGACAAAGTCGGAGGAGTAGGAATAAGAAGTGTCCTAAAAAAGTTCTAAAAGAAAGCTGAGAGATAGGATTGCACAGAAGAACACTAAATTTAGCAGAAGTCATAAAGATAAGATGAGTGATAGTAAGATATGGCAGAATAAGTTAGTGAATAAGACTAAAACAGGAAATTAATAATTCAAACCCTTCAAATGACTCTACACTTATGCCTAACATAAGCAACAGAGCATCCCAACAGAAGTGTTTGAAAGAAAGAGTTCCTGTAAGGCTAGTTAAAGTAACTGAAGTACCTGCAAGAAGTCAGTTTGTTGTTGAAGCTAAAGTAAATGACTTTAAGTATAATGAAGAAGTATTAGTTGAGCCTATTTAAATAGAAGAAACAGGAGTATATATAGTAGTATTAGTAAAGTGTCCGAAAGAGAGACAGTGCCTGTAAGTGTTAAATGTGAACAGAAAAAAAAGTGATACTACATAAGAACATAGTAGTAGGAAAGGCTAGTTGTAGAGAACAGTTATCTGCGGTAGGACAGCATAACATTAAGAATGTTAATAAACAGGCACAACAAAGTAGGATAGACTGGGATTCTATTTTAGGAAATATAGAACAGAAACATAAATGGGGTTTTATAAACTTGTTAGAAGAGTATAGAGATATATTTGTAGAAGATAATGACTAATGGTTGTACAAACAATAGTGTTAAATGATAATAAGCCTATAGCATAGAGACCTTATAGAGTGCCTGAAAAACATAGGGTTGAGTTAAAAGAATGTGTAAAAGAGATGCTCGAACAAGGTGTAATAGAGGATAGTAGTAGTCCGTATGCATCTCCAGTTGTATTAGTTTCTAAAAATGATGGAAAATTAAGGTTCCATGTGGATTTTCGGAAAGTGAATGGAGTAACAATTAAAGACATTTATCCATTACCTAATATCCAAGAAACCTTAGATAAGTTAGGTAAGAGTAAATACTTTTCCTCTATGGATTTACAAAGTGGATATTGGCAAATAGAGATAGAAGAAGAAGATAAAGCTAAAACAGCTTTTGTATTACCGTCAGGTAAACACCAGTTTAATAGAATGCCTTTTGGCTTATGCAAAGCCCCGTCAATATTCCACAGATTAATAGATGTTGTACTGTCAGGCTAGCTAAATTCAGAATGTTTTTATTACTTAGATGATGTTATAGTGTTCGCTGCAAGTTTTGAAGAGCACTTAGAGAGTTGAAGGCATGTATTTGATAGGTTAAGAAAGGCAAATTTAAAGATTAAACCAAGTAACTGTCAGTTTTTGAAAAATGACGTAGAATTCTTGGGTCATTTGGTGACTGCCGATGGTGTAAAGCCTGACCCTAAAAAGTTAGAAGTCGGTAAAAGTTATCCAGTACCTAAAACAGTGAAAGATTTGTAGGATTCTATAGATGATTTATACCACATTTTGCTTTATTAGCAAAACCTCTAATGGAATTCACTGAGAAATAAATAAAATATCAGTGGACAGGTTTTGCCATAAGTGCAGTTTTTATCACAGTTAGATGAAAATGGCAAGGAACACCCTGTAGTTTATCAGAGCAGGCAGTTAGGAAAAGCTGAAGTAAATTATTCAGTTACAGAATAAGAGTGCTTGGCTGTAGTGCATGGAATTAAAACCTTCCATTGCTATCTATATGGTAGAAACTTCACCATTATTACAGATCATGCACCATTGAAATGGTTAATTGACATTAAAGGACCCCTCCTCTAGATTAGCTAGATGTCTTTATTACTACAGGATTATAACTTTGAAATAATACATAGACCAGGTAGAAAACATTCTAACATAGATGCTTTAAGTAGAATAAGAATAGAAAATAACGAAACTTCAGAAAAACAAACAATTAATTAGATAAAAGAAGTACAAACTGAACAAGAAAACGAATTAGAAGTGATTTAGGATCAGATCATGTAATTAGTGAGCAAAAGAAAGATCCAGTGATAAGGGACTTATGCAACAAAGTAACACAATGAGAAGATATGGAATACATGCTAGATTCAGATATTTTATGTAGAAAAATTAAGGACAGTAGGTCTTTACAAATAGTTGTACCAGTTAAGAACAAAAGTCATGAAAACATATCATGACATACCTTTTGCAGCACACTTAGCTTTTGCTAAAACACATAGTAGGATAAGCAGAAGGTTCTTTTAGTTAAACATATGGAAGGACATTAAAGAGTACTGTGAATTGTGCTTAGAATGTCAAAAACGAAAAACCAGTCCACATTTAAGGAACGCTCCTTTACAAAGAATGCTGAGTTTAACAACACCTTTTCAGCTTGTAGCTATGGACATATTAGGCCCATTGCCTACATCCTATGCAGGAAATAAATACATGTTAGTAGTTGCAGACTGCTTAACCAGGTTTCCTGAGGCTATATGCTTACCTGACCAGAAAGCAGAAACAATAGCTAAAGCTTTTGTAAATGACATAATAGCTAGACATGGTATACCCCAATATCTATTAACAGATAGAGGTAGTAACTTCATTTCTAAGTTAATGAAGGAGATTTGTGAGTTGTTAGGTGTGAATAAAATCGAAACAACAGCTTATCATCCAGCTGCTAATGGTTTAGTGGAGAGATTTAATAGAGCCCTATTACATATGATCTCTCAATACTGTGAGAAAGATCAGAAAACTTGGGATGAGCAGATTCCCTTGTTACTATTAGCATGTGGAAGTGCTGAAAATGAGTCAACTCAGGAAAGTCCGTTCTTTTTATTGCATGGTAGAGATGTTATATTACCTATGCAAGAGATACTAGCTCCTAAGAAAAATAGTCATGCTATAGCTTATGACTATAAGGCAGAATTACTATAGAGAATGCAAATAGCATTTGAGTTAGCTGATGAACATTTAACTAAAGCTGCTGAAAGTAGAAAAAGACAAGTAAATAAAAAGGCACGGTTAATGATATAAAATTAGGGAATAAAGTATTGTTATACACTCCAATAGTTAAAAGAGGAAATATAAAAAAGTTAGCAAAGTTATGGAAAGATCCTTTTAGAGTCTTGAAACAGACTAGTCCAGTTAATTTTGAAATTCATGAAATCTATGGATAAAGTAAACAGTTTGTACTTGTGAACAGGTTAAAAAAAGTAAAGGGTTATAAGCCTTATCTGTATGAATGTGTAGAAGAAGAAACTAATAAAGCAGAAGCAGATAAGAGTATTCTTGAAGAGGCTGATAACTTAAGTGAGTTTGATTCATCTTTTTATGATGAAGAAAAAAATAATAGAACCAGAAATACCAGAAGAAAAAAAGAAATGATAACATAATACTAGGTGATGAGGTAATAACAACAGAGGATGCTCCAGTTATTAGTGGTAACAATAAGGATAGTAACTGACGATAATATCTCTAGTACCCCATTAATGACACAAGCTGATGTAGTGACCCATGATTACAATCTGAGATCACAAGGTTCTATATCAACTCAACCGGAAGTGACTCGTACCAGACAAAGGAAACGAGTATGATTCAATCCACATATAGTCATACACAGACCTAAGAGCAATGTAAATATGGTTAATGCTGTATCTTATGAAGCCAGTGTTACTAATGGCTTTAATAACATGATAGGTTATTTACAAAGTTATAAATAAGAAAAGTAGAATAAGATATATATACCTATATTTGTTATATGTTATTGTTTTAAATATTATATAAGTATTATTATTAAATATGGTTAATGCTGTATCTTATGAAGCCAGTGTTATTAATGCCTTTAATAACATGATAGGTTATTTACAAAGTTATAAATAAGAAAAGTAGAATAAGATATATACCTATATTTGTTATATGTTATTGTTTTAAATATTATATAAGTATTATAACTAATCATGTTATTTAGTAGTTATATCTTTAGGTTTATGGGGATTCTTATACTGTTGCTGACAAAGATTAACCAAACAGAATATGAGTATTCTGGCAGTAAAAAACAAGGTATAGAAAAATTCGAAAAATAACAAGAGTAACAGACAATGACCAGAAGTAAGAAGGAAATAAAGTTTATAATCAGTGACAGCAAGCCAAGAGATAAAAATCGACAGTGACAGCAAACCAAGAAATACACTATGTTAATGGGCAGAGACTTTCTATCAATGGGTGACAGTGTTATTGTGACTTGAATAAAGTGCGTGGGTTATGTGATGTGTGAGTGAGTGCATGTGTGTATGGTCGAGATGAGAACAGATCGAGTGGTGTGACTAAATGGTCTTTGCAAGAATGATGAGTAATAATGCCTTATGACCATAGGAAACTAGGACAAAAAGCCACTATAGTGGAAG